TTTTGACCAATTGAGCTATGTAGGCGTTAGTCCATAAAGAAGCCAATCCTTGTTGTTTGTAACCTATTTAGTTTTGACTTGAAACAATTTAGGGAAGTGACTGTTACAGTATTGTTATTAAATAAGTTCCAGCGGTTGACTACATGTTCCTATAAGATATATTGTCTGACCACAGTTGTAAATCTATGCTTAATGAGTGTAAGTGGGTGACCTCTTTCTTTTATTCTTTTGTTTGTAGCTAATTCAAAAAAAAGTTTTTATGAAATTTAGTAGGCAACTCATTCAGCTGCTTGTATACTTCTATTAAGTCTGATCTAGTTCTTCTTTCCTCAAGTGTCCATACACCTAATTTAAGTATTCTGTCTGCATAAGATCGATGTTGCACTTCATTATTATATTACTCTTATCTTATCTTGCATTATTATTTTACTAAAATGATGTTGTATTTTTTCAATTAGTTCTTTTTCTTTGATATAAAACTATCAAGGATGTCACTTCAGATACAGAGATGACTGTCACTTAACCTGTGTGGTTTTTTAGTTATTTTAACTTTGTTTTTTCATATTTTAGATGGTTTTTTTTGTTTAGCATATATTTTTAAGCAAAATTTGTTTTCATTATTATTTACTGGTAGTATTTATGAGTATCTTTATGAAAAAAATGTTTTGCAAACAATCTAAAATTTAAATAGATTAGAAAATATTTAATAACATTTAGAACAATTAATCTTTTAATGAAAATTAGATACATATTTGGCTTCGTAAGTTTGTCCATTTTAATATGTGTTTCTGACATATTTATTTAAGAGGTTTGAAAAAATCCTAATTCTTATGTTGATTTGTTTTTAAATTTGTTTCTATTGCATTCTTCATACAATGGAAGGAGTATGTTTAATAGTTTTTGGAACATTTTCCTACCCAACGCAAGCTTATTTAACCCCCCCCCCCCATATTGATAGCGTGAAATTTGTTGAAAGAAATCTTGATAACGTAGAATTTGTTGAAAGTAACCTTGATAGCGTAGAATTTGTTGAAAGTCATGTTGATAGTGTAGAATTTGCTGAAAGTCATCTTGATAGCGTAGAATTTGTTGAAAGTCATCTTGATAGCGTAGAATTTGTTGAAAGTCATGTTGATAGCGTAGAATTTGTTAAAAGTCATGTTGGTAGCGTAGAATTTATTGAAAGTCATGTTGATAGCGTAAAGTTTGTTGAAAGTCATGTTGATACTGTTAAGTTTGTTGAAAGTCATGTTGATACTGTTAAGTTTGTTGAAAATCAAGTTGATACTGTAAAGTTTGTTGAAAATCAAGTTTTTCAAAATTTTTCAGGTACTTCCTTCTGTTAATAATGAATTCAATGGTTAAAAATCACAAAGTGATGTTTACCTTTTCATTCATAAACTAACAGCAATGGAAAACAGCACAAATCGATAAAAGACATGGTGCAGAGACATGGTGACAAACACGAGAAACTCAGTTTAAAGGTATGTTGTTTTAATGATGTGTTCATTTATGGATTTTTAAACAATTTATAGTTAAGTAAATTATTTCAATTGGAGAAGAATTGTCATTTTTTTAGGATTCGTAAGTAAATTCCTTGTGAACTTATGAAAAATTTTATTTTTCGATATGCAATTGCATTTTTTGACAAAATATAATTTGTTTTAAAGTTTTAAATAATTGTGTAGTGTAGATGTTAGAGCAGTGTAAAAAAAATATTTGTGACAAAAACTAATTTTATTTTGTAAAGCTGTGAACAGTACAAGTAAAATTTACATAGACAAGTAAAATGAAGTATATGTAAACTTTACATAGAAAAAAATATTTTGTTTATTTTAAAATTTTTAAATTTGTATAATACAAATGGATTTTCTGCGTGATAACTTCTCTATAATAATAAATTTTATTTAAATATTTTAAATAAAAATTATTTAAAGGGTACTTTAAGAGTTAGAAAAATATCTCAAATGCATAAAAATTGTGATGTAAGTCCATCCTTTAGGGCACCAAAATGCTGAAAATAAAGTTGTGAAGGTACAAGTGTCTCTTCAGTACTTACTGAAGTACGAACACCTTTAATCGTAATTATTTTTGCAGTTTCATATTGCTGATACCTGTTTGTTAAAAACTGTTACTCCATTCCTTGGCAGGATTCCCACTCCTCCCTAAAAAACCAAATATCCTTAAAACTCCCAAATAACCTTATAAAAATAGGAAAATGTGGCTATTCTGCTTTTACTGCTTTTTATACCTTCTATAAAATTGTATTGATTGATTATACTAATTATAGAGAGGCATATGATTAATTGATTCTCTACAGATTTGTTAGTCCTTGGCCTTGGCCAAAGGTTAAATCCTCGGCTATAAAACTTGGCCTTGGCCTTGTCCTTGAAACCTTTGGTCTTGGCTTTGACCTTCAAAAATTTGGCTTTCCATCATATCTTTTTAAATTTAGAACTGTAATTGTTTCATAAATATTAGTATTTCATAATGTCTTTACCTATACCAACAACCAACTTGTGCTTATATGGCATTGAATTTGAAAAGCGTGTATTAAGCATATTTGTTTTAATTACAAGCTATAAATCTTTTAATACTAAACATATTTAATTAAAAGCTGTATAATTTAAATTTATCATTGTGTAATTGTTTTTAGTAATACTGTTATATTACCTACAATATTGAATAAAATTTTTGTTAGAATGGATTGATAATGGCCCTCAAATAGATGGGATATCTGGTTCGTTGCTTGACAGTTTTACATTTCTTAAGTGTAATAAAGACTGTAAAAAAAAGATTGTTTTGCACATTTTTTAAAAATGTTCAATAAATGTGTGATGCAAATTATAAAATTATGTGTGTGATGCAAATATTAAGTCGCGTGTTTGTCTGTTTTTAAACCAATAAGCCTCAAAACTGCCCCCTTACTAGATGGTGTGGAAAATCCTTATTTTTACCATATTTTTATTAGTGGTAACCCAAATTTTATATTTTATAATTTAAAAACTACCCTGGTGGCTCTTGATAAATATTTCAATCAAATTGTTAGGAACAACGAACCTCTAAAAAAAGATCTTCAACTGCTCTATTTATACTTGTTATAAAGTCTGAAGAGAACTAAAAAGCAACAAATTCGTCAACCTTAGAGTCTATGTAACATTATTGTTATAGACAGAAATAAATTATTAGACAGAATGGTTTTAAAGCATAAAAGCATAAAGCTATAAAAGTAGTGCAACGTTGTCGTGACATTTAATTTAAAGAAAAAATTAAAAGCAATGATAAGAGAATTGTTGAAAAAAAATTTAGAAACAACTGTTATGCGAATTCAAAAATCAACTTGTCACAATTGATGACGTGACTTGAAAATCAACTAATCAGACATCACTACCGTGACTTAAAAAGCCGTTTTTTGTAAGAATCAGGCAAATTCGGGAAAATGTGGAAGTATTCCCCTCCAAATTGCTTAAATTTTTTATATATTGTTCAGAATATAGAGAAAAACGTTTAGGACAAAAATAATTCTAAAAAAGTTTCCTTCACTCAGAATCCGCCTTTAAAATTTTGAGATTTTTTGAAATTTGTTCTAGAAATTTAGTTTTTGCCATATTTGAACCCATTTTTTGGGGAGAAGTTTCACTTAACTAGGGAAAAAGTTTAGGGAAGAAGTTTCACATAACTGTTATAGCTAATATCACACGTAACCCAAAAAACTTTGTTTAAAAAATAAAAAATTGCTTAAAACTGAGCGATTGACTTATTATCAGTTTAAAAGTACAAAAATATAAAGTTTTGTTAATTTTTAATGATGTTTATTTCTTAACGCGGAGAGTTGCACATACATTTTTTGCAGGATGTAGTATCATAGGGATTTAGACTGAAAATGCACAGAAAGTTATGTGACACCTGAAACCTATCCAAATATTAAGGTTTAAACTTGAAAAATAATCAAATAGTGTTCTTACAAAACGACCCGTTACCCATTAAACCGGAGATTTTGTAAAAATGTAAAAATGTCAATGTAGCATGGTGCTAACATAATAGTAAAGAAAAAGTCGCGTGATCTTGTTACATACATGAAATAACACGAATAAATTGAACAAAAATCGAATAGCAAGAAAACAGTTTTGCTAATACAATGATACATAAAAGAAACATTCAAATGTATTTCCATTTAAAAATAAATTTTCCATTAATAAATAGAGTTATTTAGATGCTTTAAATAAATGATCCAACCCAAGCCGTGGCTAGCCCACTAATGCCCCCTACGAGGTCGGAGGGAGAACAAATTTAGGAGCCCTTTTTTAATATTTCGAGGTCTTTCTTCCAAATTTAAGATTTTTAATTTTAGTCTTAAGCATGCAAGTTTTTGGAGTGCTTTTATTTCGCTTCGCTCAAAACAAGTAACAGCGATACTTTCCTTTTAGAATCTACTCAAACAAAGAAACTCTTATTTCAAGCAGTTTTAAGAACATGACAGACAAAGAAAAGCAATAATATAACATAGATGAGTTGTTGACTTCATGAAAATCCCGGAAATTTTTTTTCAATGAAAATCCCGAAAAATTATATGGTCAACTAGTTGACGAAGGTATGTGGATATACTCTGGAATGATGGTAAAGGGATAGATAAATTAACTAAAAACTACTGAATAATTATTTTTCTTCAAAATTCTTTAAAATCAAATACAATTTCTCAGTTTTACCGTAAACAGTCTGCAAAGAGTAATAATTTATTTATTTTTTAAATATAAAATCTGAGAAAATGGTTCAGAAATTAATACTTTTAGAAATAGAATTCCCGGAAAATTTTCATCTGAGAATATAACCAATAAATATATATTAAAACTCGATTATTTATAAAATATTTAAATAACTTTTTAGCAATGAAAATATAAAATGAAAATATAAAATGCAAACTTATTTAATGATACGCCTCTGTAAATATTTATAATATATTGCTAAACCTATCATACTATATTATATTAAAATCGCATATATATAATCATAGACATATTTAAAATCTTTTTAGTATTTTTTAGTACATACGCCGTCAGTTTTTTAAATTAAGTAGCAATATCAAGTGCAGGAGCTATTCACAGCAAATGATCTTGGGTTATACAAAACTAGCCATGTACGAAAAGCCCTTACTCTCCTGATCATTTATAGACTATTTGCCATCTTTTAAGCCTTGTGGACATTATACATTATCATCTTCTACAAATCCAATATGCAACAACATAACTGTATTCCTGCACAATCACAGTTATTTTAACTGTTGAGGATTTAATCTGTTTACTCAATCTGCGAATATAAAACAACTTCCACCGCTTAGTATCTAAAAATAAAAAAAGGTTGAATAATTGAGTTTGAATCTAGTGTAATCCTGTTAAAGTAAAAGTGTTAACGCAATAGTCAAAAAAAATTTAATGTCTAATTATGTCTACGTAATTTCAATATATCCATACAAATTTCTCTCAAGCTGTTGTTTGTTTCTGAAAAATAATTAAAACAGGTGGCCACCTAATGTATAAATTAAATTCTTTTATCATTAATTGAAAAAAAAAAAGAAATTTAAAAAAAAAGCAATATCTTTTAATATTTTTACTTCTAACAACAAAATTATCACTGTTTTTATTTTTATTTTAACTTTTTTTTAACTGATAGATCAGGAATAAAATTGCCAAGGCTAGAAGCAACCACTATTGGAGATGGAAGTTACTAGAAAAATCATGAAAAAGGTTATATAGTGCAAAATGACAGTTTACAGAAGATTATAAATGTTTTCCAGGTTCATATAATCAGGAAGATCATATTTTCCTGATTTATATAATTCATACAATCAGGAAAATTAAAAGTAAACACCAATCAAAAAACTGAAACATAAGATTTTTTATTTAACACTTATGAACAGCCACATTCATTGAATGACGAGTAAAATAATAATTTTTTGTAGCCACAAGAGATTCTAGCTCTCTAGACCAGCAGGCTATGTATTTTTTATAGAAAAGAGAACAAAAGGCGTCACAAAGGTTGAAGGTTAGCTGAAAGAGCAGGTTAAACTATGTTTACGATGCACTTTTTCAGAAAGGACATGTTTGATGTATTTCCCTTTATATGGCAACAGTATTCTATGCTAGGATGGATTGGGGATTTATAGAGATGAAGAATATAATCAGGAGTAAGAAAGTGACACTAGTGATGTACAGATTAAACATTTTTGGCCAATGCCGATGGATAGTAAAAGGCTGATAAAGATTATTTCTCAAAATCTTAAAAAGCAGAAGAATCCTAGATTAAAAGAAAAGAGTTGCAATGTTCAAAGGTTTATAGGATATAACTAAAAAAAAGCCAAGTTATTTCTGCAGGTTGCAGAGCTTTAAATGGCTTGATAAAAAATACTTAAAAATGAGGCCAAAAATGGCCTCTTTTCTAACTTAATTCACACGTTATTTTATAGTATATGGTATATGGTAGTGTAACATTGGCAATGAATGTTGATGATCTCTAGTGCCTGGAAAGAACAATACAAAAGATGATTAGTTGGATATGCGGAACATGGAGTAGTAATAATATCTGGTAAGATGTGCCAAAATGAGGTTTAAAAATATAGAAATGGTTTAGGCATGTAGAGTGTTGTAATGCAGATAATTGGATATCAGAGCGTAGAAAGTTATCAGTGTCAATAAAAAAAAAGGTAGAAGTAGAAAAACTTGCGGAGAGTGTGTTGAAGATGAAAAGCTTGTAACATGAATAGCTTTATTTAAAGAGATACAAAAGATAATGGATATTTGAAACATCAAAACAACAAAGCGCAGACACAAGAACACAAAATAACAACAATGACATTGTTTTACATAAATTTTAGTTAATTTTATTTTATTATCAAAATTTCATTTAATTATTTTCAAAATGCAGGATAAAATTTTAAAATTGGTTTATCTGCCATCAATTGGAGAATCAAGAACTTAATTAAAAAAAGCTGATGCCAATAACAATGCCGATTGTGCAAAAAGTGGCCAATTTAGTCGATGCTGATTAATTGGTACATCACTAAGGATCACGAAAAACAGATGCAACCTTAGCAGATGCTAACTTTGCAATCAATTTTACATATGATTTCCAAGAATCATTAGAAGTAAGAAATAATCCAAGAAGACACTAAGTAGATGATTCATTCATTCGTTCATAAATACATGTTATTGCATCTAGATTAAGCTTGAAATAACTGAATTTTAAATTCAAAATTATCCAAGCACTGAAAGCTTCATGCTATAGCTGTGATTCATTTATAAGCTGTAATGCCCCTCCAAGAAATCAGAGAGTGTTGCGTTTTTATCAAGCTAAGAACAAGTGGTGGTAACACCAGCATAAATATCACCTTAGATGTAAAATTATAGAGAAGTTCATTAACGTAGATTAGAAACAATATAATAAAAAACCAAGAATAGAACATCAAGGAAGGACAATCTTTATACTACAACTGCTAAGGAATGATTCAATAATTTAATATAGTTCTCCACGTCACACAAATCACATCTACATAAAAAGAGAAAACAATGGAAGACTTAATCGAAGACTTTAAAGTGTTAAGAGCAATAGCCCTAACGCATCTATCTAATGCACAATAAAACATATTGGTAATTACTGTTATAAAATCATCACTAGAATGAGATGATCAAAATCCTTATTAATGATCTGAAAGTAAGCTACTAAGTTGTTAATGAGAAATTAAGTATTTTATGTATGAGAGAAATTTATATGTTCAAGCAAAAGTTAAGATTTGATTTAAAAGATTAGGTTATAACTATGGTTTTTGTGTTTTATTACTTTTTATTTATAGTTTATATTCACTTTTTATCAAGGTTTTAAAAATCGCAAATATATTTTTACCTAATTATAAAACAAAAAAATTACCTGTAAATGCTGAATTAACTTTAAAGACTCTAACTGCAATATCACAGGAAAAACATATTAGTGAACCTTTCCATTTTACATAGAAGTTATATTTTCTTAGGCTAAAACATCCATAAATCTAAGTTCAGCAGTGTCTGGAAAGAAAACCATTGAGTACAACAACTTAAGCTTTTCTTTTCACATTTAGACACCAATTCCCAGTGAAAGGTTTAAACAAACAGTTTTGTTTAAATACCAATAATAAACGTTTATTATTGATATTTAAACAAACTGTTTGTGTTTATTCTGTAAATTAATTATGACTTTTAAACAAGTAAAATACGCAATAACTTGTCAATAACTTCTCTTTACATTTCATCAAAGAGCAGGCAGTAACGGTTCAAAATTATCTTATAATATATGTACCTAAGTTGTGATAAACATTTTCAAAACATTCAAAACATGGCAATTCCGTTGCAAGAAACTACCCAAAAGGAAACATAATTTTGTGTTTCCTTACCCAAAAGGAAACAGAATTTTATGTTTGTTTTTGGCATTTCGGCTTTCCGGCGTTTTAGATTTCGACTTTTTGGCAACTCTGGTAGGACAGTTTACTCCAACGTAGGACAGTTTGCTCCGGAGTAAATTGTCCTAACCGGACGGATAGGACCAACTAGGACATTCTACTCCGGAGTAAACAGTCCGGCCGGACAGTTTACTCTGCGGACTGTTTTCTCCGTGACAGAACAAATCACGCCGATAAAATTTACAGCCGGTAGCATTTTACGCCGATAAAAAATTTTATAACATTGGCCCCAGATCTATTTTTTATGACTGTTATAATAAATGGTATAATAGTCCGTGAAAACGCGCACGAATGGGCAGCAACAGCGGTATCAACGTTAAATTAAGTATTAATTCTAAGCAATTATCTCGCATAATTATAACGATTATAATCAAATAATGAGTAAAATATTATAATGTTAAAATATTCTAGTATTACTATGATTTATTCATTTATTTATCTATTTATGCTCCTTGAGATTCAACGCCATGTTGAATCTATTATGAGCCTATTCTAATTACAGTTCCGAAATATTCATAGAGATCAAAGTTTCATAATATCCATATGTTAATCAAGCTTGTACTTGAAGATTATTACACTTTTGGCAGAAATGATTTCTTCTGGTAGTTTTTTTCACCTTTTTGCGATTCTATTTGACATAAAATTTTTCCTTGATCTGTATATTTTTATTAGCTCAATATCTATGGGTGATTATTTACAGCTGGGCCATTTGTTAAAATAGAACTTGCTGTTTTTGGTTGTTGATACCCAAACCTTTTGTACAAGTTATAAAAAGTCTTATAATATTGAATTAAATCATATCTTATTCTCCTGCTTAAGGAAGTTGGTTGGAGTTTTTTTTAGCCTTTCTTCGTAGGGTAGGTGCCTTTTTTATGCAATCAATTTAGTTGTTTGTTGTTAAACACTTTTTAATATATGCATATCATTTTTATTATAAGGGTTCCATATTGGTGATGCATATTCAAGAATATGTCTTACAAAAGTGCAGTACAAAATTTTCATTATGTTTTTTTCTTCTGTAACTAAATGATTTGGATAATTGATCAATATTTTAATCCCATTACAATATTTTAATCTAATGATTAAAATGTTATATTGGTAATAAAATGTTGTATGCTGAATATAATATTTGGTTTAGTATTTTATGACATTTTTTTACCTAAATAATGATTATTAGTCATTATTTAGGTATGTGACATGAACATTTAAAATAACAAAATTCTAGAATGTTATATACAATTAGAAAGGCCTTTACCGCAGTATTTTGAAGGTGACAACAAAATTGAACAATTCTAAGTAAAGGTATGAGGTCTTAAGTAAAAAAAAAATTGTTATACAAATTTTTTCAAGAAACTGGTTAAAATTTAGTTTTTTATTAGATAGTTATAAATTTTTAAGTTCTTATCTAATCTGCATTGAACCTCAGACCTCTTAGTTTTTAGTCAGAACCCTAGCTACTGTGCCAGTGAGCTTTTTTAATGTATAAGTTGCTAAAACAAAATTTGAATGCGGCTCCTA